CCTGCGGAACGGCAAACGTTTTGTACTGGAAATGAAATCCGGCTATTGCGGCTCATCTATCTCATTTCTTGATTTTATTTTTTTTATCTAGGCAGGTTTAGGCCTCGTCTGTATGGAAACCTCAAGGGGAAACCAGGGGTTAGTTTTTAGTCAGCAGAGCCTTTTTTTTTTTTTTTCCAGAAGCTGCCATTGATGTCCTCTTAAAATGAGGAAATAGGAAACCCGTAATGGGAAGTAAATCCTGTGTCTCTTCCCAAGCTGTGTGGTTGTGTTAGTATTCCTTCTAATTCAGTTTTATTTTTCTCATAATACATTGACAGATGACTTCAACACAGATCAATCAAAAAAAATTAGTTAAAAAAAAAAGTGCAGCGTATTAGAAGATGGTTCATCTCTAGATGAAGCAACCACCTCTACCTTCCGTTCTGAATAAAATCAGATGTTAACTGAAGTGGCCTGGCTTATTTCCAGTTTACAGTAATTCTATGCCACTTACCTGAAATTCTCCTTTTAGTACAAATCTGATAAAATATTTGTCATCTCTCAACTGCCTGCAATGGTTACAAAGTGCTACAGGAGCAAGAGTGGCTATGGCAGTGGCAAGTAAAGTGATTTCTTTATAGGCAGTGATAAAATTTTCGAGAGCATCCTCCATTGGCACAAGTCTGTTTCCCTGGAAGAAGCATGGAATTTCTACAGACTCGTGTGGGAGCTGAATTAAGCTGACATAGGGGCTTTTGTACACCCCAATGCTCCCCCAGCATATTCCGTATTGATACGTTGAAGTCATTCAGATTGTTAGTTGGCTGGAAAGACAGAACTTATACACAAGAAAAAAATTAAGCCGGAACCCTAAAAATCAATCTTATTAAATGAGAACTGTGAGCGTATATGATAAGGGCAATTTTATTTTCACCATGATGGTTTGTTTCTAGTTTCCTTTGATGCCGTATTTTACCTAGTGTTTTTCTGGAAGAGAAGTGGCTTGAAATCTCCTGTGAAAGTAAAGGAGCAGAGAGATTAAGCTAAAAATGCTCCTTGTATTTCAAGTAGTGTTTTGGTACAGCTGTTTGGCAAGCACTGTAAATACTTACTGCATTTTACTTCAAAGCTTAGAGGCTTCTTTTATAAGCTTATCTCCTTTATTGCTCCAAAACAGCAGCAAAAAACAACAGTTCCCTTTCCATATACAATGCATTACTAACTGAATCCAGCCCAGAAACTCCAGTGGGATGTCTGTGTCTTCCAAATGTCCTAACTCCTCACGTGGAGTCGGAAAGTGGAAGCCACCTTCCTCTTTATTGTAGCAGCAGTTTAATGACAAGCACAGGTTTTATACCCCGCACCCATAGGCTGTGTCAAATTTATGTATTTTTTACTACATTATTTAGGTACCTTGTAATCCTTCAACAAAGTAAGAAATGTCATAAATATGAAGTGTCATCCCATAAAATCATACTCTTTTAGAGTGGCATTTGGGGATCGTGTTCATGATCTGGTGTACTCTTCCAGTAGGAAAGTGGCAAGCGGAACTGATGCTCAATTAAAAGATGAGACTAAGAAATTAAGTAACTGCAAGTATTCTAGTCATCAAAAGACGGAGGACCTTCTGCAGAAGAAGAAACAAACAAAACTATTCTCCAAAATGATTTAAGGAGCTGACAAATAAGGAGAGGTTTATTAATCATTGCGGTCTAACCTCATTTAACGGGAAGAAGTGAGGGGGTTTTGCTAATACATGAAAGTGAGAGACTTTTTTCATAGTTCTTGGATGGATCTACACCTCTCGGTTTGTTTCGGAGGATGGGGATGCAGCTAGAAAATCTTGAACAACAGCTTGCTTTTGTTCCTAAGCAATATCTAAGATAGAGTGCACGCCAAAAGGCAAGTGAAATTCGTGTTCTTTTAAAATAAGTTATCCTGTCTAATAAGAGGTAGAACTTTTCTGTTATTCAGAGCTGGAAGATGTCCTGATCTACAGTTCAGATACAATTAATGGTTTCATTTCACATCATTCTTTTTCCTCATAAGTGAGTATCTGAATCACATGCTGAAAAAAGCAACTACAGACCACTTTTATAAACCCAGTCACAAGCGGGTGGTGCAGATAAATTGAAGAAAAAAGCCTTGCTTTCTCCCGGTTTTCTAACAGAATGATTTTTTCCCCAAGAAATCTTCAGCCCAGCACCTAAAGCACCTCATCAAATGGGATTTAGACACTTATTTTCTTGTGGGAGTCCCATGTGCAAAATTGTTAGGATGGTTCCCCTAGGCTTTGCAGGGCAGAGACCTTTGGCATTTACCCTGTCCTAAAATGCTACCTCCACCCCCCACACCCTATACACCTACACCCAACCCTTCTTCTTGCTGCTCTAAACTCGAAGCTATAGAAAACCTGAACCCTCAGTCTTAGTTCGGTTGTGGGCACTGGAGTTATCTGGCAGCACTACCGCTCAAATGGTTAGAAGCCAAGCAAATATGTATTTAACGGGAATTATGAAAATCAAAAAGTACAAGGTTCAACTTTTTGAAAAGCACCTTCTTCCCCCACATCAAAGGGCTCATTGATTTCTTGCTCAAGTTCTGACTGAAGTGGAGCTAAGTGGGTGGAAGGAGGGGAGAAAGAGATCAAATCTAATCTTAGAAGCTGTGTCAAGCAAGTACTTTATGGCCCACCCAAAGCTGATCATGAGACAATTCCTGAGTGTAAACATGATTTAGTATGTCTGGCAAATGTTAGGAATCTGTCCGAGCATATTCTCCGGGTGAGAAATAGCTCTTCTTTTCCTTTGCTCCCTTTTGTGTGTCCTTGAACTTTGTATTCCTTGAAATCCCAAGTAACCGTTCACATTACTAAAGTGTTAAGGTGCTTGTCTAGGAAGATTGGCACTGCTGATTTCAGCACTTAAAAAGGGAAACCGCTCTGTTGTTTTAACCACTTCAACACTCACCATCTCAGTTTATTTTCTTACCCCTTTTAACTTCTGTTCAAAATCAAACAGGAAGCCATTAAGGTGAGCCTACTACAAAGCAGCCCTCAAAATACATAGCTGGGTCCCTAGTGTAGAATGAAGGTCATGCCCCAAAAATGTAGCTAAACGTATGTGGAAGGAATGCAGAGCCCATACACCGGGGAGACTAGTGTAAAAATACGATGCCTCAACTCAGGCAGATGACCATGGCCAAGACAGACATTGCTACCAGCACCTTCATGGAGGCACGGGTGGCAACGCCGGTTGAACCAACAAAGCACATTAGACCAATGATCTCATCTACTTGAATCAATACAAGGAGTGGGGGGAAAAAAAAGCCAACTCCCTACTAAGCTGCAAAACTATCATCCTTTCCTCTCACCTAACTCCCCTTTGACTTTTGTCAGGTCACTGCCATGATGACAGGGAGAGGGATGTCATGGGACTAAGCATCTGACAACAACAGTGGGAGACAAAGCAAAGTCTTTACACAGGATTTAGCTAATTATATTTTGGGCAAATATTTATTTATCTAAAAACAAAATAAAAATCATTTTTAAAAGAAAAAAGTATTTAAATAAAAAACAAAATTGTGAAATGTTATGGCACAGAAGTTCAAGACAAGTATAAATCCAGTTGCCACAACTGTTGCGTATTAATGTTGCACATTTTTCTATAAAGACTTTATTAAAAGGTATTTACATGGCAATAAGATGTGTAAATATATACAGCAATCTGGGGATGACCTTTTTTTTTGGGATTCTCATACGAAAAAATGCCTTAAATACAAAATTTTGAAAGAAAAAAAGGTTGAAGAGTTCATCCCCAAGCATGAAGAATGTCCCATCATCCCTTATGCCCAAAGTATCAATTATGAGGCAGTTTTGAGGTTCTGGCCAAACCCTTGGGAGATTCAGCCAAGGTTGTGTAGTCTCAAGTTAAATCGCACAGCATGCAGTTGCAATAGTTCCATACTCGATGGACTGGTGTAGTTCATGAGTGATATTAGAAACATTAATATTTTATAATAGTTTCCATCTAGTTTGGGTTATTCTAGGCGATGCCCAAGAGTTCCTATGCACAAGAGTTCCTTAGCTGCTCGAGTTTGTGTTTCAACTGTTCTCTCCTCCGCCTCAACTGCTCTTTCTCTGCGATCAGTCTGTGTTCGTCCGACTGGATGGAAAGAACGTACTCTGTTGCTTTTTTCAGGATGACAACCTTGGGCGCCTTTTCGTTGTTGGCCACCTCAGGTATCTGGTCACGCAAGGCAAAGAAACTCAGCTTCAGCTCGTTTCTCCTCTGGCGCTCCAAGACGTTGTGCGTTCGCCTCTTGTCGTTCTCTTCCGAATCTGACGTGCGGGGACTCGAGCATTTTCGGTTATTGCTGATCTGTTTGAGAACTCTGCCACTGTCCAACTTTAGCCTTTTTGCAGCTGGGTATTCAACCTTCGTGGAAGGAGGAGCGGCATAATTGTGCTGATGGATGTTGACGTGACACCGTTTGAGAACCAGCGGGCTGTGGTGGGGCTTACTGTGCTCTTCTGATGTGTCTGTGCTGGACTCTGTGCTGGATTCGGATTCATTTGCTTCAGCTAATGTAACGACATCAATTTCCTCATCTTCCTCTTGTTCTTCTTCTGCAAGGGGGGAAAAAAAAAAAAAAGGCTTATAAGCTGATCTGCACAAATAGTCTCAAGAGCGCTGTATTTATAAGGGAAGGTTACTCAGAGCTGCATGGCAAGCAAGGAACCCGTTGCTAAACCCATTTAGTGCTGCTGGACTCTGCTTTCCCCAAGAGCCTTTCCTTTGAGGATGCAACGCTTCAAGTGCACTAGGACACACGGACCGCGCTCCAAACCCCGGCTCCCTGATTTCACAAGTTGCAAAGATCTTGCGTAATTCCGAGGAGCGTATGAGAGATAGCAGGAAAGTTTAACCTCGGTTGTCAGCAGTACAGCGCAATAAAGCTCCCAGACTCAAGCTGCCCTTAATTAAGGATTTAGAAGGCTTTGGCCACGCCTCAAAAGAAAGCTTACTTAACACATGTGTGTATTCAGAGACGTTTTCTGGATCTCTCTTGATCTGCTAATTTGTGGAAAATCCGGGGGGGTGG